TTTTATAGTGTCAGCTGCACTCTCGCAAGCGAAGTCTTGGCGCGCACAAAGCCCAATTCGAAAAACTCCTTGCCAAAATTCGGAATCTCATGCCCTTCGAGGTTATATCCGTCCTTCGCATCATATTGTCAACTTGTCCAGATCCCTCTCACATCCATCCCAAAGAACTGTCTCCCAGATTTGTGCGCCACGCTTTCCTTCCTCCGTCGGGTATAAATATCGGCGTGGGCGTGTATTTGGTGACCAGCTGAGACCAGAGAAGGTCGAAGAGTGGTGTGGTCATTGGAATGAGGATGTACTTGGTCGTACTTGTAGACTAGACGAGACGAAGATAGGAGTCAAACTCGTTGGGAGCGAAATAACGACGTGGATGAGTAATTTGGATTTTTGCCTCGTAGGCCAACTTCTTTGATATTGCGAAATTTGACTGAACTTTGCTCTGGGAGAATATTTCACTCCCAGGTTCGTAGAGGACACCGCGTACAGGTGTTCAGTCTTGCCCTCCGTCACATCGGGTCGAATAGGTAGGAACGCATTAACCATGATCCTAAGACCATGTATTGAGGGAAAACCTACGTGGGAAAACCTCAATAATTCCTCCTGTACTCTTTCACGACGAGCAGCCGGAGTCCCCCCTTGAACAGGCCGTGTAGGAATCCAACCTAACACTTCTAGAAAGCACATCCGGCACTGGACCATCTGTGCCAACAGCCTGTTGAAAATCACATATCGATCTTACCAAATTCTCCCCTGCATTGCGCTCAACCCCCATTTGAGAGGGATGAAATTCCGAAATCGAGAGCTCAAAACCGAGGCATCGGTGCCCCAGCTTTTGTCGTAAATTGTTTGTTGTCTGAGTGAGGCTTCTTCGTTCGCGCCGTCTTTGGAATGTGTCGAAAAGTTGAGAATGTTGATGTCGCGGTCGAGGTGCTTGTCTAAAATGAGGCCGAGCAATTGCCCAGTCCTGCACACAATGTTAGTAAGGTTGAAAGCGAAAGGAATTTTACCTTTGATTTTGGGGGGTTGTTGGTGAGTCGTAAAGTCCTCCCAGTCAAACTCAATAGGGGAAGTTGTTAGAAGACTGAATAGAAGAGACCCAAACTTCAACTTTTGATCTACAGTGCCGGGAACGGAACCTAGCCCGTGTGTCAATCGAAATCGACTGGGCCACGCTCAGCAAGCTGCCGTTTCGAAGGATGCGATTCTTCTTGGCTATCCCAGATATGCAGAGTATACTGAGCGATTACACCGGCACCACTAGAAGGTGAATAATTCGTCTTTGCCGGCCTTCATACTCATAGATTCAGTAGTGACTTAAATTTAATTCTATTTTATTCTATTTTGAAGGCTTTGATAACCTCATCCATCTCCATCATCCGGTGCCGCAGATTTGTCAGTGCCTGCGATCATCAGTTTTTCTCGAACCTTACTTAAATAATACCCTACATTCTTTAGGTTATCCATATTGACGCCTATAGAAATCGCGAGAAAATCTATAGTCCTTAATTGCGGCTGTTCCGCTGTCCGTTGGTGGTGCAGTGAAAATTTTTCCAGCCGTGAAAACCACATTTCCAGCTCCCTAATCCGCCATGCCGAAGCGCAGCGTGAGAAGTAGGGAAAACGAATCACATGGATAAATTAAGATAGTAGCAGTTAACGAAACGATGAAATAACGTTCATGGAACGTGGTGCCGCTTTTGACCAAATGATGATGTTTTTCCTTTTTATGATACTGTATTCACCTATATCGCAGTGACAATTCTAGTTGGTCTACATGTAACATATCGTACGTATTCACCTACCCCATTCGAGACAGGAGAAAGCTGGTTCGAATCCAGTCAGACCCACACACCACTCTCTCTCGCGGTGATATTGTACTTGTAGGATGATGAAAGCACACTCGGATAGCCACAGGTTTTTCACGCTTTTCCCTGTGGTGGGTATGCACGGAAGAGGTTATACGCCGTAAGGGTTAACGTCGAGTGGTATCTGCAAATGAAATCTGAGTGTGAGTGTTCTAAACGTCAAATTGAGTCATCCTACTTAAAAGTACATATCTTCCGATAAAAACCTGCATGGGCCTCAAGGCGCCAAATCAGGTAAAATGAACTATAAATATCGTACGTATTTTGTCGGCGGCCATTCTTCTTGGGCAGAGTTAGTAGAGCTCCTAGCTTAGTTTTTGACGCAATAAAACCGGTTTCATGACTGTGCCTTAACATAACGTAGCTGTCACATAGGCTCGAATCTCTTCAGACTCTAATGAAATCTTCGACTTTTGAATCTCTGCACTTCTGAAGTGGATTTTGAGAAGAATGTGGATAAAACTTATACGCAAATTTTAGAAGGCAAAGAGTATCAGTTGCCTTCGGTGACAATGAAAGATGAGTTTGAAATTATTTGTACTCTGTGTTCAGAGTAAATTTGGTTAACTCATTGATTTGTACAGTCACGAAATCTCTGTAAGTCGTGCCTACGACCAAAAGTTTGTCAACACTACTTCTCCCGCTCGCCATCTCAATTAAAAATTTCAAATGCACCCTTTGCCTTGACTTAGTAACAGCTACGGGGGAATATACCACCCAAGGGTTAAAAAGAACACAAGTGACAGATGTTCAACTCTCTTATTCCAAATTGGGAATTTAATGGTTCAATTCATAAAAAAATAGGTTCAGTAAATAGTCAGGCTTGGCGTAATCCAGCACGCGAGTGATCCGAGTGGTAGCCCGATTACACTATTGAGTCGAGCTATTTTTCTTATACCATAATATTACATGCAGCTTTTATCTATGGAAAATGACCAGTAAATTGTGAACATGTGGGATGAATCTTTTGGCTTCAAAAACTCTTATACATTCAAATTTATTTGCAAACATCACTATGGAGTCTATTTGTTAAATTGAATAGTTGACTATCCTCTGTAAGTACCCACCCAAAAGAAGTCACAAAATCATTGGTTATTTAAGAACTCTTTTATCATCCTTGACACAAAAACGTAGGAAAATTTAATCAAGCCTTGATGAATTCGAACCGGCGATCTCCTGGCTCAAGAAGGATAGGTATCCAAACTAATTAGTCATGTCGGTGTTTACTGTGTCGTCAACACAATCGTAATAAAAAATAGGCGCACAAAAGACTCTTCATTATGTAAGATTCGATGCCCAATTACAAAATATCAAGCCTTTCAAGACTCGTTTTGTTTTTTGCGTCATGATATCCACTTCTCTAAATTTTTCTCGGGTCTATCCCAAAGATCTGACTTCTAGATTTATGCACCATGAATTGCTGCCATTAGCGAGTATTCACATTCTCGTTGGCCCGTTTTTGGGGGTCAGCTGAGGCTAGATGCTGAATTGACGAGAGGTGTGTTCATAGAAATGGAGACGTTCAAGGTCATGCTTGTACACTTGATGATTCTTTGGTTGCAATCAATGTCTTCGCCAGAGAAGGATTGATTAGTTGCAGAGCCTTGAATTATTGCCTCGTGCGCCAACTTCGTTGGTATCGCAGAATTTGACTGAACTTAGCTCTGGGGGAGTATTTTACTCTCAGATTTGAAGAGGCCGCCGCGGACAAGTGTCCAGTCTTCGCCCTCCTTGGCTACACCTTGCATAGTGCTCATAGCTTCTATGTTTATAAATAAGGTCTCCGACATAGTATTCAACATGAATAACCACATAGTTCAGTAATTACCTGTAGAATTCAACCTGTTTTCTCCCGGACCTCATGCGAAAAAAAGTAGTAACAATGGAAATTTCGTGCGTGAGAATACTTTTTAAAATGCCTATAGCCCCGACCAGACGAGGCCTAGACACATGACCCAAATGAGGTGCCTATATCCATTTGTGTCAACCCTTCTCATAAATAATAGGCCAACATGCTGCCAATCATGACCGTCGTATCTATAGCTTGATAAGCCCCAGAAACTCATCGGATGGCATCTCTTCCCTGACCAAGAGTGGATGATGAGTATGTCTTAGACCTCACCGTCTGATCAAACCGTGGTTAGCTTGATGATTATGATGCCTGGGAGAAATGCTGGGAGATGATGAAGATACAAACCACGAAACTATTTTTATTTCGTCATCTAAGTGAGGATATCGGATGTGATTCCTCTTGCAAATCCTGAGTATGCGAGAGATACAAGCATCGATACCGGCACCGCTGGAAGATGATGAAATCGTCTTTGCCATCCTTCGCATCGGCTGGAAAGTAGATATCTACATAAAGTGAGAAACTTCCCTCTAGGTAATGAACTCACTGAACACTGTGCCAATTACTTCTACACGAGCCTGGAAGAAATTGGAGATGATCCTTGACTCGACTTTCACCAGGAAGGATTTAATTGAATCATAGCAGGTTGACATCTAAAAATGGATCCTAATTCCATCATTCCATTCCCTTAGATGAGCTAGCCGATATTTTATTTGTTAATTCGTAGCCTTCGGTTTATTCTCAGTACTCTTCCAACTACTGTTATCCGCACTTTAAATTCCCGCCTAAATATAAGGCGAGAACTAATGTGATTCTGCTCTCAGCACACCTGTTTCGATGAAATTCCCTAAATATCTTTTCATCACAATACTCTACGCCGTATCAGTCACTTCCATATCAGACTATATCTGCAACTTCAGGCACATATCTTTTACATACACCGGGGATGAAATCACTCAAAGACTATCGGATTGCAATTTGAATAATTATGAGGACGCAACTTTGTTCAGAAATGCAGCGAAGCGCTCATCTCCCTTTTACTTTCCGTTCTACAGTTCTTTCGGATATCAAAGTGGAGCGATAGCAATGCGATTTGGCTTTGGGAATTTCTTATCGAGTACGATAGACTTATTTTATCTTCCCATGTTAATATCTGCGAATCTAATCAGTATTTTGAAAGATCTAAATTTCAACAAGCTACTGGACTATTTATGTCTTCATCTAATTTCTAAGTAGGGACATATTACGGCTATATTATAACAAATAAAAAATGTGAATTTATCGATATGGTAATATGGTTAGCAACATCTTGGCATCAATGCATAGAAGTATTGCCCGCTGATAAAATTGATGGCAACGGTGATTTATTAGGAAAATTGAGAGGTTACCGGTGGAATAGAAATAATATTAGACAAAAACTAGGACTACCAACACATCTAGAACCCCATGCCTCATTTCATTTAGAAAATGAACCAGAAAATGACGCGTCTGTAGGCACAACTGACCCAGGAACTTCAAGTCAACCACCACGGCCTCCAGCAGTACCAACTAAGGCCTTTTTTCGATCAAAGAAGAAATCCAAAAGTCACTCTTCTGCAGACACAACTGACCCAGGAACTTCAAGACAACCACCACGGCCTCTAGCAGTACCAATAAAGGCCTTTTTTCGATCAAAGAAGAAATCCAAAAGTCACTCTTCTGCAGACACAACTGACCCAGGAACTTCAAGACAACCACCACGGCCTCTAGCAGTACCAATTAAGGCCTTTTTTCGATCAAAGAAGAAATCCAAAAGTCACTCTTCTGCAGACACAACTGACCCAGGAACTTCAAGTCAACCACCACGGCCTCCAGCAGTACCAACTAAGGCCTTTTCTCGATCAAAGAAGGGGTCTAAAAGTAACTCTTCTGCAGGCGCAAGAGAACCAGGAACCTCAAGCCGAGTATCACGACCTCTAGTAGCACCATTTATGGCTTCAAGAATTCAAACACAACCATTTCCAGTATCGCCACGTCCAGAACAATCGCGTCCATACCGATCACGCCGAAAACTTCTCGATACATCAAAAAATTTAGAAGCACTACATATATCATCATTATATATATCAGCATTACGTCGAAAAGCAGCATGTCGAGCGCAACCAGATATAATACCATTTCAAGTGCCACCACGTCATGCACCTTCAAATCCGGGACCATCACGTTCAGTGACACCAGTGCTACCTGAAGTGCTGCCACTTTCACAAATTGAAAGTGAAAGTAGTTCTCTACACTGCACCTAGGTGAATGAAAATGTTCCATAATTATAATTAGGGCCATATCAAAGTTCAACCAGTGAATCGGGGGATTACTCTTTTATTTTCTTTAAAATTTGTAGTGGATCCAGTCTATAAAAGCTATATGTTGATAAATTGGGACTAATAAGTTTATCTCAGAGTGAAGAAATGTAATTGATTGATTTTTATGAAGTATTCCATTTCTCTTTAAATACAAGTCCTTCCTTCTTTCATCCGATCATCCACGTATAGACCATATAACCTCTCCATAGTGTTGTACAAGTTTAATGTGTCAAATAGTCCTAAGTATGAAGTTGTCAAAGGGTAGAATTTCACCTATTCATGGAAACTAAGCTAGTCACGTCACATGACCTTCCTAGCAGTACATAGATTTCATCTGTAGCAGTAGACCTCATAAGTGAACATTTACAATCCATAAACCGTGTCCCACGTTCTCTTTAAGAGAAATTAGAACATGATTATATGAATACAAACAGGTACAGAATATTTTCACAGATAACGTCAGGTAAAACGTATAGAGCTCAGTCTGTCTCACGTGAGATCTTGGCGCACTTAGCCCGCAGGATTGTATGTACTTTCTTTTCGGTTTCACATCGCTTTTGATGCAGGTCATAGTTAGGTTGAATCTATGCCACACTTAGCCGCCCATGAACGAGAAAAATAAAAGTAACAGCTCTACCCAACAAGATTGTTCTTCCGATCTATTTTCTACACCTTTGATGCAAAGCATATCCTACTTTCGCCCTTCACCCCACAAGGTGAGCCTGACATTTGGATTTTGGCTCTCATGTGAACAGACCCCTGAGAGTTATTCTTTTTCCAGCTACTAGAAGTTAAAATAGCAAAACCAAAATTACCAACTTCAACTCTAGAGCAAAGGCTTGTTAAGCTGCGATAATTTCAAGAACTTGGTGTAAACTTGGAAAGTATAAAAACCAAACTTTGACTAGGTAATGAGATAAATATTGGAGCTAAATTTTCGATTGGGTTTCGATAAAACCATGTTGACAATGTTATAATCTTATTAAAATTGAATTATACAGAAAAATATCGACTACTAATAATACTTCCTTTAACCTCCGCGGCACTTTTGGTCTATATTACAAGTAAATAGATAGTTGAACTATCTTTATTTAGCACCTTGAGGCCCATGCAATTTTTTTCCGAAGATATGTATTTTATGTAGAATGACTTAATTTGAAATTTGGAACAATTACACTAAGACTTCAATTCAGATCTAGAGAGGGACCCAAGGAGACGATAAGTCGTCTAGACCTGCGAACAGGCCAAAGAAACCGAGCAATCACTCTGCTAGATCGTTACCTTACGAGGCTCCAAATAAACTCTAAGAGCGTGCCGACAGCCGAAGGTCCGGGTAAACTTTATTACCCAAGAGGTGAACCCACAAGTGAATCCACTGGAAGCGACAAGAAAGCGGAAGTAGATCATGCCACACAATGGATAGCTAGTCTATCAGCGGAGACAGTCCGTGCTTATTCGGACGGATCTTCATGCGGCCCCGCCAAATCTGCTTGGGGATACACCATATACAGAGCAGGCCAAATGATAGGGTCAGGATCGGGTCCCATGCCTGGAGCAGAGGTTTACGACGCAGAGCTGTTAGGAGCCCAGAAAGCCATGGAAGAAGCCATTAAGAAGGCAAACGGAGACCCAGTAAAGGTACTCCTGGATAGCCTTAATGCCGTGCGAGCCCTGCAAAGCGGCCGAACAAGATCGTCTCAGTCTGTGGTTGACAAATTTACGACTCAGACAGGCCAGCTCCTATCAGTCGAGGTCCGTCGGATACCGGGACATTTTGGGATTACCGTGAACGAGCAGGCGGACAAATTGGCTAAGGTAGCCCTGAAAGACCTATTAGACTTAAGGAGTGAGCAGATATACACCTTTGCAGCGCTGAACCGGCTCTTCCGAGAGCAGGCCGAGGAAGCCGTGGAATCCTGGTGGCTTCAAAATAGACCAAGATGGTACAAAGAATTAGACCTTCTATTGAGACGAAAACGATCACCCGAGCTTGGACTGCCGAGATGGGCATACCATCGTCTAATACCAGCGAGCGCAGGACACGGAGATTTAAGGGTTACCATGACAGATTCGGGCATGAAAATATAGAATGTAGATGCGTCTGCGGAAGGGAAAGACGTCCTTGGCACTTTGCAGAGTGTCGAACGGCCTTGCAACAATGGAGAATATCCAGACATGAACTACCACTAAGGAGTCGAGTCATGTTGACAGAAAACGGATGGAAGGAATTCTATAAATACATAACTGTAACGAGATGCTACACGGGGTAATTTTCAAATTTAGAGGGCTGAACCTTTCCGAGGGACTGGAATATCTTTAGCCGTTGAATATGAAAGTGGGCAAGGCGCAGGGCGTTTTTTGTCAGGCAATTTTCTTTATTTCTTCTTTTCATGTAATCAATGGACCTGGAAAGCCGGACAGATAGGTAGTAGTGAGTCTTTAGGGATCACACACCCGTATCATGCCTCTTGGGTGTAGAGCTTTTTGCCTGATACGAAATTCATACATACACATACACATACATACATACTCTAAGATTTAATTTGTAGATACCACTCGAGGTAAACCCTTGCGGTGTGTAAGCTCTTCCATTTATGCCCATCATAGGTAAAAATGTGAGAGCCCCGTATTGTTCCGAGTATGTTTTCCTCGCCCTAAAAATACAATCACAGCGTGAGAAAATGTGATGTGTGGGTCACGCTGGATTAAAGCCAGTTTTCTCCTATATCAAATGGGATAGATGTTCAAGCTACAGTCAAACCCCTGTTAAGACGATCCTTGTTAAGAAGATATTGCCGTTAAGACGATACTTTTTCCTGAACTAACTTCGTCTCCATACATTTACCGATTACACGATTATCGTTCTTCAACCTCTGAATATCGTCTTAAACAGGTTTTTTTTGCTAGAATGGTGCTAACAATGCCGCCAAAAAAGGGAATTTCTATGGAGCAACGACGTGCTCTGCGTCGACGGGCGCACCGCAAGGTCCCAAAACCAACACAAAAACAGTGCAATGAGTGGTTCTTAGCTGATTATAGCTATCGATTAAGCTAGTCCACAGTCTCCGAGTCCTTGAGCAATACCTTTGCGAAACTCAACGAAGCTCTAAGTACTACTGCGCTACGACAGCGAGCTGGAAACTGGCCTGACCTTGAGAGTATTAGAGCGATTAAAGACGGCAAATGGGAGTATAAAAGAGGTATCAAAAGCGTAAAAAGTAGCCTAGATAACTGGATTAAATATGAAATCCTTTTTAAAGCGATATCCTCTATTTGACGATATTTTTCACGGCCCGGATTTCATCGTCTTAACAGGGGTTTAACTGTACCCAGAATCTGCTAGGAAAATTGGCCCAAACTCTGTCCGACTGAACCATCTAACCGTTGTTTGTTTTATGTTTATTATACTAACCACTAAGTCAAATTTCGCAATACCGAACAAGTTGGCCCACGAGGCAATAATTCAAATAACTCTACCACGTCAAATTTTCATTCCAAAAAAGATCGAATCCTACCTAGGCCTCATTAAGTCTACAAGTACAACCTAGTACATCCTCATTCCAATGATCACACCTCTCGCCGACTTTCTTTGGCCTCGGCCGGTCACCAAATACACGCCCACGCCGATATTTATACCTGAAGGAGGAAGCAAAGCGTGGCGCACAAATCTGGGAGACTGTTCTTTGGGATTGGCATGAGAGGAATCAGGACAAGTTCACAAGATGATGCAGAGGATGGTTATTATTTCAACCGGCGTGAAATTTGGAATTTTGACAATGAGTTTCTCGAACTTAGTTTTGTGCATGCCAAGTTATCGGTTGCGAGAGTGTAGCTGACACTATAAACACCGCCATGGTTGGATGGTGCGGTGGTACATCGTCTTGGCCGGTCTGCCAAGTAGAGTCTGGATAGCTTGGACACATATCCCACTCGAGACAGGAGACCGCTGGTTCAAATCGGGCAAAACTCAACTACGTTTCTCGCGGCGCTGATATATGTGGATGAAGAAGGCATGCTTGGATAATCAAAGGTTTCGGAATCCACCTTGGTGGGTACTTACGGAGGAGGGTCGACTGTTTGTGTAAGCAAATGTACCTCCTTGTGGTATTTGCAAACGAAATACAGAGTATGAGTGTCTCTAACTTCAAAAGAGTCATCCTACATGTATACATGGCACCGTTCATGTGTCATAGCTGAATGCACATTAAATGATTTAAAAAAAAATGTCACTCTGACCCAGAGAGGTTAATATCCATCGGATCGGAGATCATCCGCACACTTGAGGTGGTCCATCGACGATGAATATTTACGGGATCGGCGATCACTCACAATTCCATTACTAACTATCGGCAATTCGTAAATAGATAGACACAAGTATGTGGTTGTAATGCGCATCCTGTAACACCTTGCATCGTTGGCTTGTTCTTACATTGTCAGCTGCGCTCTCGTAACCGAGGGCCTGTTGCGCACAATACTCTTCAATTTAAGATACTCCATGCCAAAATTCGAAATCTCCCACCCGTCGAGACTGTATCCTTCCTTTGCATCATCTTGAACTTATCCCAATTCCCTCACATTCATTCCAAAGAACTCCCTCTCAAATTTGTGCGCCACGATATTTGTCTTCCTGAGGGTATTCGCATTGTCGTGGGTATCTATTTGGAGGCTAGTGTGACGGAAACCGAGTTGGTGATGAATATATCGATTTAATAAAATACGTGAGGAGTAAGAAAACTCTAGCAACTGCTAACAGGTATTTATAAGTTGATCCTCTTCGTGAATCTACAGGATAGTGACTTGTCCGTAGGCACAATACTTCCTACCCAGCCACGTATTTCCAGGTATCACGAAGTTGTAATAACGTTTCAGCCTCTTGACTGGTCGTGCCGTTTCGTTCAGCTTCATCTCCTCCTACCCATGCAGCCTTGTCGTGATAATTCTCAATATTATGCTTAGGTATCCGCCTAAGCTCAAATTAGGGTCAGCCCATAACAGCTAGTTGAGACTAGAAGCTGAGTCGATGATAAATGTGGTATGGTCATTAGAGCGAGGACCTACTAGGCTGTACTTGCAGGATTGATGAGACATTGGTGGGAATCGATCTCGTTGGAGGTGAAATATTGATGCTGTGAGGAGTCCTGAATCATTGCCTCAAGCGTCAACATCCTCGGTAGTCCGAAATTTGAGTGAGATTCACTCTTGAACAAGATTTCACACCTAGATCCGTAGAGAAAAATATTGATGAGCGCTTAGTCTTCGGATTCCGTAGAGCTAGATCACGAGATTGAGGAAAGTCATACTATCAATGTTTTCTTCTTTTGAGTGCTAAGAGTTTGTCGATATCCGACTAAATATGATGACATCGAGATCGAGTGGATACAAGTTGGAAGCATTTCGAACCTATTCTAAATATTTTATACGCAATGCTCGTGTGTCTAGAGGGGGACTATTCTCAACAACTGTCAGTGGTGTCCCCTACGAACCTCCAGCTCTCACTAAAGAGTCTGCTGAGCCGAGATTGAGTAACAAAGTCCTCACTTCGACGAGGATTCCCAATCGCTTTCGCCGTCTGTATCGTCTTTATCCCTCAACAAATCCCCCTATCATCATTATCATGAAGCTAACCACGATCAGATCAGATGGTAGGGTCGGAGCCCTTCTCACCACCAACCCTTCATCATAGAGGAGATGCTATCCGATGAGTTTCCGGAGCGTACCCAGCAACCGATACGGAGATGGTGGATTGGATCAAGTCGACCTCGACTGCTACAAATAAGGGAGATATAGATGAATATGCGCACCTCATGTGGTCCCGGTGTCTAGGCCTCGCCTGGCTGGGGCCGCAGGTTTTTTGAGACTTTTTCCCGCGCACGCAGTTTCCATTGCTACCATTTTTTTTGGGTAGAAGGTTCCGTGGCTAAGGTGGCCGAATTCGACGGGCAAATACTGAGCTGAATGGCTATTCATCAAGGGGAATATATCAATGATCTTTGAAGAAACATGAGAGGCAAGGAGCACTGTACAAGGTGTAGCCTGGGTCAGAGAGGAGCCCAATGTGCTAGATAGTCATAGACTCAAGTAGTACAAAAAAAACACACACACTCGTGTTTATGGATGACGAAAACATGCTTGAGTAGTTAAAGGTTTTTGTAACCTCCCTTTTTATTGTTTTAAATGCAAGTTTCTGCCGAGTCTTAGACTTTAAAAAACTAATTGAGGATCTAACTAATTGGTTCCTTGATTTATTGGTTAAACTTAAAAAAGAAATATCACAGTTTTATGCTAGTTTATTTTGATGTTCGAACCCTAGAAACTTCCCTTGGGTGGGTGATAACGGAGGAGAGTCGCCTGTTTTGCAAACACACCTTGTTGTGGTATTTGCGAATGAAATCCAGAGTGTGAGTGTCTGAAGGTAAAAGGGACATCTTACACGTAGACAAGACACTGATGAGTCACAGCTATATGGCTGCATGCACATTTAAGTATTTAAAAGAAACTTAACACTGTTTATCCCCGCCAAAATCTATCTAGCGCAATACGAAAATAGCCAGTCTTTTCCAGACCACAGCATTTAAGTTAAAATTTTCAATTGGAGTTTATTTCGTGTGCTGGATGAATTTACTGATATCATTTCCAAAAATCGCTGGTGTGAGATTTTACCTCTGGTCTACTGTGCCTATCTGTTGATGATAAGAATCGATGATCATCAACTGTCCGTACTGACTTGACCAATTTCTTGTCCCAAATATTTAAAAGATTTTAATTCGTTTCTAAAACTTCCTATCATAGATGACACTATGGTCTAAATGTACATAACTATCCGGATCGCATGTGAAGAAGCATACCATCACACCATTAAATTTAAGGGGAAATGGTAAAGTCCAGGACGGCAATCCCATGGACACATGGTCAGTGCTTCGTGTCTAGAGTTCTAATCAATGATGATGTTTAATCACACTACACAGTTAATTTGGATAGGCAACCAACCCGAAAGAAAACACAAGGCTAAATACTAGGAATGACTTCGACCAAAAAAATTGTCGTCTGCGGAGGAAATGGATTTCTCGGGTCAAGAATATGCAAGTCAGCCGTCGCAAGAGGCTGGGAAGTTACATCCATCAGGTACCTCCACTAGAAGTCATACTGCTGAACATTGCTGACCCGTCCGCAAGCCGATCTGGTGAGCCCAAATGGTCCTCAGTAACATCATCAGCAACACCTCCTGCCTGGTCCAACAAGGTGAACTGGAAGCGCGCTGATATCCTCAAGCCAACCGCCTACTCTCCCCACCTCCAGAATGTTGATTATGTCGTGCATAGTATGGGGATACTTCTCGAAGCTGACTACAAAGGAGTCATTTCCGGTCGAGAATCTCCACTATCTGGGTTGAGAAGAGCATTCTCCACTACCAAAGCTGGCTCTCAGAATCCTCTGACGCGAAATGAAAATGAAGATCTCAGTGCACAGGAGAGTGATGGCCAACTCACGTATGAACTTATAAATCGAGACTCCGCGATTACTTTGGCGCAGGAATCAACGAAACACGGAGTGTCGGCTTTTGTGTATATAAGTGCTGCAGGCGGAGCCCCAGTATTGCCTCAAAGATACATAACAAGTAAGAGAGAAGCCGAAAGTACTATTAGCAGCGAGTTTCCGCGTCTACGTGGCGTGTTCATGAGACCAGGATTTCTATACGATAGCTCAAGATCTTTTACAATGCCGCTTGCAGCTTTGACTGGCATGGGGGCAGCTTTTAACTGTGTAACCGGTGGACTGTTTGGTGGGATCATGGGAGCGGCTGGAGTAAAGCCATTAAAGGCAGATGTAGTTGCGGAAGCAGTAGTGGAAGCTCTTAGTAATGATTCGATGAAAGGTCCGATGGAAATTAAGGACATTGAAGAATTGGCCTCTAAAGCCTGGCGAAAGAACATGCTATGAGATAAAGTTATCTTTTAATTACAATTTTCACCTAGAACTCCAATTACGCAACTCCTTGCAGCTTCCCGATAAGTCCTTCACAGTGCTCTAAAAGTCGTGGCTCATATCATCGTCCCTCTCTCAAAACTGTCCCGTATCTCTACAGTATACTGTAACATGTTAGTGTTAGTTCACTTTGAATATAAAAAAACTAACCTTGTTGTAAAACCTCGAGAGCTTTTGGTTGAATTGCTTGTTTTTCTCATTAATATACGTGACATCGCCATCTTCTCCGTTTTGAGCCATTCTATCTCTTCTCTTGTTTAATCTATTTTCTTCCGCCTCTTGCAAATCTTTCACTAATCGGTCAATCGCCTCTTTTGGAGGCTTGTGATCGACAAATGCAGTAGAATCTGCAGTCGTGAAAAATGTGCCGTCCTTGTCTACCGCTACTAACTCCCCATCGTCTGTCTCGACAATCTCAAGCCCTCCACTCGCAGCTGCCTTCTCGACTGCCGTCATCTTTTCTCTCTCATAATTCCCAATATCTGGCTTTAGGCTTCGTATCTGTCGCTTGTATACTTTGCGACTGTCTTGACGATAATCCTGAAATGCTTGGTTGTTTCGGTGCGCCTCTTTCTTCTTCAGACGCTTATCCCATCTCTCGCTCTCGTCTACCGTCCAATCCCAAGCACGCTTTCGCTCAAAGTCTTCTCCCGCAGTTTCGCTATCGGCTTTGAGCAGATTATGTGAGGCTACGGCTGACTTCCTCTTCAGGGAGGTAAGAAGATTAGGGTCTGTGGCTAGTCTCTGAGATTCTAAAGTAGCCTCTTTTAAGTTTATTTGTGCACCTTCCTTCGCGCGTACTCGCAAAGCCTTGAATTTATTCATCCGTTCATCTACTTTCTTTGTGGAATTGCATGTTGCCGCCTCGGAATTAAGTGCTGTAGTTTGAGCTCGCGGTTCTAGGCTTGGAGGGTTGTGTTGTATTTCGTTCGATAGAGTCGCCATGTTGAGAATAGATTGTTCAATTTGCGATGTGCCGTAAGTGTTTTTGGACAATTGTGGCGGGGCCTTACTCTCATTATATTTCTTGTCGCCACAGGCTGCCGAACTATGACACCACTAGTGCGCTTGTTTCGCGCCACAGGGTCAGCGCCATACGACGCACTTGGTATCAACACTAATACCTGAACCATGCTCACCCCAATCTTGTGCTGCGCCAGGTTATTTAGTTTCCGAAACAAAGCTTTTGACTACGGATATACATCCGCTGACAAACGTTGCTTGAAAATTGCCCTCATGAGAAGAACTGCTTCATATCAACCGATAGCCAGCTTGCACACTACCGACAGAAAGTTCGCCGCCCATTTTAATCCATCGGAGCGCCAGAGATTTAGGCTACGTTATCATTTTGTAGATTCAACGAGACCGTCTAAATTCCGAGATCGGGTGGTATCAACCAACTATGACTCATTTTTATTTACTTCACCTGCGATTCTACTGCGCTTTGTCTTATTGGGATACCAAGATTGCCTAGCTCCCATATTTGCTAAATGGAAAATAAATAATAATGATAGTAGCTCGGCAGTAATGAAAAAGTTTACCTTCAGTTTTACTCGTAGTCTGCTCTCAACCAACCCAAATGTGGATAAAATATTGTCTGATATATTAGCCAGAGACATGAGCTACGCTCTTGATGTTCATCAGCTTCGCCATGTATTATCAACACTTTCAATTACCCAGAAAGACTCTATGGCCTTAGCAAGCGCGGAGAATGATCTCAAGCTCTATCAAATCATTAAGCAGGTCGATATAAATACTCAGAACTTGAAATTATACAAATGTGGTAAAATAGTATTTCTAAAACACCAGAAGAAGAATTGGTACATGACATCATATTGCAATGATCTAGCTTTAAATATGTTGTCTAGAAAAATAAAACCTGGGCCTATGCTCTGCGGCAAAAATCTCAAAACAGCTGCGAATCGTTTTCAGCTCTCGGTTGTACAAATGTATTTGGATAATATTAATTCAAGTGAAAAGTCTCTTACCCCAGACGTTAGACGTGCCTTGAGTGCCTTTGCCCGGAATATGCATTTATGTAGGAAAAACAATTTAAATTTCCCGATTTCAGAGATTGAGCGCAAGGAGTGTTACAAGAAGAGTCTCAAATTACTGACAGGATGGGAAAAAGATGGAATGCCAGTGCCTGGCGAGGTACGAAAGGTCTCATTTGCAACTATACCACACGAGTTAGATGTGGAGAGAGAAATTTGGCTTCGCTCCTACTATCCGACCTATATATGCGTTCTCGCTGATCTAGGCTTTGCTGAAACGCTTGACAATGAATGGGAAATTCTCTCCAATACCTCACGAACAAAGTATATGGCTTCACTATTTGCTTCTGCGTTCCTTCTTGTGAAAAAGCCTCGTCGGGCTCTTTCGCTTCTAGAGGACTTTAACGCCTGGTCAGAATCTCTAAACACTAATGCAAAGCAGTTACAAGCTCAAGAAAATAGTTCGTCGCCTGAGATAGCCCACATACTTCTTGCCATGTACACCTATTTTCGAATGAAAACTACCCTCAACCTACGCAAATATCTGAGGCAATTGGAATATAACGATACTCCGATTTATCTACTCTACAATCTAGTTCAGTATATACCGCCGAATCACAACATGACTTCCTCCGGTGAAAACGTATCAGTTGAGTTGAAGAACGATAGATTAATTGAATGGACTAAAGATGTGTATGGAGAAATGGGACTTCTTATTTCAAATAATGGCGGAAAAACTCCCATATATTGGAGACCTGGGAGCCTAAGTAAGAGGCAACTTTCGAAATATCTCTTGCAGGATAAAACCTGGACTAGACCAAGTGTCCAGACTTGAACTGAAACGAAATTTAGGTGTTTAGATGCGCTTAAACTCTATATTATACTGTTTCATCTTGCGAATATTCTGTCCAACTTTATTGCATACTTCAAAAGGATATCGATATAATGTCGCCTGATACCAGTACTATTCCGACTGATAAAGACCTGATTATAAGTCATTGGGGTTTCGGAATATGCTCTGCAAGATCTAAACTTTGTACCTATTTTTCAAGTTATTTTGAAGTCTAGCAAGCGCCTATACTCTAAGGACTAAATCTGATTACTACCATCAGGACTGTGGGAAATTTTGCCTGTATGCTGTGCCTTCGCTAGGATACTTTTAAACCCACTCCAAATCACATCTTCTCAGAGTTAAATTTTGGGGAGTAAAATTTTCTTAGCTCATTTAACACAGAAAAAGTTTATATTATGGCCAAAAGATGCAAAAGATAGTTTCAGCTGGAATACATTCATCAAGATAATGTCTAAACTCTAACCTACTCTACCACATGCCACCGGCCAGATTCCAGGTGTTAAAATTGCACAGGAGTAAAAACATCAACAAATGGAAGATTAAGATCCCAGGTCTTGGAGGTTTTCAATCTATTTGGGCATTAAAGAAGTGATGAGAATCTTCCCTAAGTAGCGACTATGGTCTACTGTTACGCCAAGATGGTCAAATCAACACCATATAGATTGTCCTATTTAAGGATCTTGCTCGAAACCGAGAAAATTAAATAACTTCAATAAAAGAAAACCAAGGTGTACTGCTGCCATCTCCTAAAGTTTCTTGAGGCCTTAGCTCTATCTCAAAAACTGAACTAAAAAGCCAAACTTGACCCAATTACGCTTATTTAGTTGGGACACTGGCTCACGAGATATAAATTTTATTATTCCCTCACCAAACTATGAGAAACTAGCCACTCACATTCATTATATGCAGAAAAATTTTGGTATGCTTTTGCAGCTTCCATAACTTTGAGCAATCAAGCCATGCTTAGTGTAATAGGCTTTGCCCAGACTAGGACTGATCACTAGGACCACTCCGTCTTCGAGGTTAGGCTGTGGCAGAGCAGCGCTACTGGAAATGCGAATGGGGCGCGTAAGGAGGTGAAAAGGATGGCACGTACCAAATGGGAAGTATGGTACAGAAGAATAGATGAGCCGGGGAAAAAGGATGATTCTCAGGTGGCCAATGGAGGGAGTTAAGAGTAGTCTACACAGAGCATATAACGGATGGGTGATTACGTGGTAGATTGTTTTCCCAAGGAAGAAGTTATTAATTCCTATCGAGTTATTATCTTTCAAGTACATCTGAATTCAATAAACCCTTACAATAATAGCCGCTTCGATTCTACCAAGATTGATCAATTAACCCGTTGAAGCAGCGCATTCCTTCAGATTTATTCGTGTCATACTGTGGCACTCTATGTGAGCTCACAAGCCTACAATATGAAGTACGATAGCTAGATGAATTGATGTTGTGCCTTTTTAGGCCAGTTGGCACTGTGGAAAAGCTATCTAACTACAGCTACATGTCTTCTGAGCGAGGGTCGCGACACGTATACCCTTTTTGTGTTTCGTGCGTCGCAGAAACGAGGAACGAAAATTGAGGCGGACTTTGCCACTACCTATATGAATGAACAATATGTCTAGATAGGATTGAGACCCTGCCTGTTACGGTTTGACCGTTGTTTGAGCTTAGGTGGATACCTAAGCCTATTACTAAGAATTCTTACTATGAGGCTGTATGAGGGGGAGATGAAGCTGAACGAAACGGGACTACTACTCAGGAGGCTGAAGCGTTATTACAACTTAGTGACACCTGGAAATACGTGGCTGGGTAAGAAGTATTGTGCCTAAGGACAAGTCACTAGTCTATAGATTCACGAGGAGGATTAACTCCTATAAATACCTGTTAGTAGTAGCTAGAGTTAGCTTTTCTCCTCATATAGTTTATTAAATCGATTTATTCATCACCAACTCGGTTTCCGTCACACTGCCGGAACTGATAAAGCAAGATTGGCGGCGTAGTATGATAGAAGGAAGGCTGATGTGTGATAGCATAAGGTTCAGGAAAGGCTCTGACTAAAGGCAAAACAATAATATGATTGTATCTGTAGAAAGAGAAGGATAGGTCGGTTCACCAAACAATGTATATACACAAAAGTGGATCAATATTAGTCCTAGCGTCCATATAGCACGTGACTAGTGTCCTATGACATGATGGACTTATCAGCTGGTGGGAGCGAGGACAGCATTCGAAGGAGACCTTTGCGGGTCTGCAGGCTTGACAAGTGGCGTTGAAGCACATCAACAGAATAGGGCAAGGGGAGAACTGACTTTCCCCGGAATTCTTGCGCGACTTTAAATACCTAGTCGCACAGAACGGGGGGACGAGGCCTTCACACAGCCAGCCAGCCGGGACCATGAGCTTGAAAGCAACCTTAAACAATAAGCTGCGGACGGCCTTGGTAGGAGCGAAGCTTCCTCCACCGAGAAGATACGACGACTGAGTAGATGGAGCGAAAGAAGTGGAACTAGAGGTGGAAGGCGTCACAGGCTCATGCCTGGTTATCATTATGTAGTAGCCTAATAAATAAGGCTTGAACTATCCCGACTTTCTTAAGCACCATGTATTTCATACACCCTTCTGCACGACTCATTAGACCTTAGAATAGGCCTTGGCCCAGCTCATGCAAATCTTTCCTTAAATGACAAATTTAGATTGCAGACACGATGACTCGACTACCAGTTGTGAGCCATTCAAGCCACACGCATCATGGACTATTTTAACAACTATATTGCGAAGATAAGAAAGAAGCTGGATTAAAATAGACGGAGATGCTGGTGTTCGTCGGAGGAGAGGTCATGATTTAATTTGAGAATGGCATGAAATGAGGGATCGAGGTCATGTTCTTGTAAATGAATAGGAGCCATTCAGTCATGTCTCTGCTCGTTGCTATAAGATTTTTATTTGTATCTAGCTCTGAGTTCAGTTTGAATAAAACACCACTTTAAGACCGTCACAGAAGGTTTGGCAAATTACCGATCACAGGGGGCAAAACAGATAAAGACATACTTGGTGGCGCCAAAGATTGGAAGGGGGAAAGTATTTCCAAGTCGACAAGCAGTGGATGCTGAAGGAGACGTCGTGATAGGGGGTACGAGCACTATCCTCGCAGCCTTTGGAGGGCCCATTCAGAACACAAGAGAAGCAGCTGCAAGGGCAGGAAAAGAGTTTAGAGGTAGATTCGTACGTGGGACACTAGAAACTCATAAAGAGAGGCAGCTGCCCAGGGCCCCACGGCGGCCACAAGCAGAGTTGTGCTGTCAGTGTTCCGTAGCTTCGGTAAGGAGACATAGGATTCGATCTGACGGAACGGGAGAATTGGAACAGGACGGAACAGAAATGAGGACTTTTGACATATTGGTTGATCAAACGTCTAGATCAACAGCAAATCTAAAGCTACGAAATAAATCCTGTCTTAGAGCTCATCTAAGTACTCAAGAGTTTGATAGTCTACAGCTATAATATTGCAACTGTCAGTCAAATAGACTCAGTTAGGATGTTGGAGTAAAGAAGTTCTCGTGCGTGTCCCTCAAGCTATGTGTAATCTCTATCTATATACATCACATCCCCCAAACTCCCATCTCACCCTTTGTCCTTAATCTAGACTACTTCACTTTTGAATTCTGTGAAAATACCGTCTCCATTCCCGGCTTTCCACTAACTCCAATACGTAACTCAGGTGAATACTACCCTAAAAATTCATCAGAATAAATAATCATAAATTCACTGAAATGTAACCCAAACAAAGGAAATTCTGCTCAACAGCAACTGATTACTATGTCGATTAGTGAAGGTTGCTATCTCAAGACTGTAACTATCGCAACGCAATGGCCAAGTTATTAGGGGTACTCATGATCTGATTCACCAGGCCAAACACAGCATCTCAGTATTGGTCTACGGCAGAAGGGTGGTAACGGACAGGCCGTAGTACTCACACGGAAGCCAGTCTACAACATACTCCGGCTAACAAGGAGAGGAATGTTCGTCTGCAGTACTCCGGGGGGACGTGGGGCAAAGGATTATCCCAGATATCGGAGAGCTCAGGCGCCAAAGTCGTGACTGAGTGGGCTGACAGCAAGGGAAGAGCAGTTGAAAGAGGTAGATTCGGGAAGCGCAAAAACCCCGAGAAAAGTTGCTCTCCCGGCGGAAAAGGGGCTTTGTCAGTGGCGCAAAATTATCTAGAGGAATCAGCTTCGCGGCCACTATTGATTTGAATTCATTTCGTATCAGGCTTACGCCCTACATCCAATAGGCGTGATACGGGTCTATGCTCCCTTGGAACACACTACAACCTACATACATAGTTTGCTTGTCAAATCTATACGCAAAACATAAATAATGAAATCAATTCCAAGAAAATTAAGCGCCCTGCGCCTTTCCTCCCTCCTCACAACTCTTTGTCCTGAAAAACTTCTATGTTGGTAAAACACGAAGTAATACAAATTGGGTACCGTCACGAAGTCAGCTGTCCGTCACGAAGTCGGTGAATAATGTCAATTAACTGGTATCTCGAAATACATAAAACGTTGTCTCTCCCCTTCCTTCCTCTACTCCAAGCGCCTCGCTAATGAGCTAAATCAGACCCCTGCCAGTGTCCTAACGACAACCTGAATATCGCAAATACATAGAACAATTCACATTACCCAAATGTGATCCTTTTACCGACATTCTATTTCGGCAGGACTTAATCCTCCCGGTGTGAAATCCGCCTCTCTTAACACTTAGTTACCGTTAAGAGCAGGAGAAATATTTCCCAGCCCTTTTCTGTCGGCATCTCCCGTCCTCTCGGTCGTGGTTCGTGCTTAAAGTTTCTCCACTGCTGTAGAGCAATCCGGCATTTGGCAAAATTCCAAGGACCTTTCTCTCTTACGCACACGTATTTGCAGTTTTCAAATTCGTAGCCAAATATTTCATGGTATTTTATGAAATCACCATGTCCCGTC